TGTCTCACGTACTTTGGGCATATTATTGGGAGGGACTATTTCTTGGAAAAAGGCATTGTGTTGCAGAAGTTCGAAGGAGAGTCAGCATAAGAGAGGAAGACCTTCAACAAGAGAGATTGACCAGGTGATGTTAACAGTGGGTTTGAGCATATCATTGATAGTATGTATGGAACAGGATAGGGCAAGGTTCAGAACTGTTGTTCTTAGTATCACTATGACCTGATGGCACCTAATAGTGCCGCAATATCATTTGTGAAAGAAACTGATTTTTCCCCCATTGAAAGGACTTGACCCTTTGTCAAAGAGCTGATTCCTGGAGGTGGATTAATTTACATCTGGATTCTCAAATTTATTCCTTTGCTCTATGTACCTGCCATTGAACCAGGGGCAGGCTACTTTCAGGAATGTTCCTAAATAGTAAGTTTTGAAATTGCAAAGTATGAGGCCTCCTACTTTGTTCTTTTTATCCAGCAATTCATTAGTTATTCTGGACCTTTTCCCATTTTGTATAAAATTGGTCATTAGTTTTTACATTTCATTAATGAGTGTTGTTAGGTTTAGGAGCAGGATTGGGTTAAATTTGTAGATCACATTTTCAGTGTGTTAATTCTTCTGACCTGTGGCGTGGAATGTTTTCCATGTATGTAGGTCTCCTTTGGTTTCTTGTAATAGAGTTTTATAGTTTTACTTGCATAGGTTTTCTATGTCTTCTGGCTAGGTTTTTTTTCCTAGGTGGTGTTATCCTGTTGGGGACTACTGTAAACAGTATGGTTTTCTTGATTTCTTTGACAACATTTGCATTATTAATATGTTATTAGGTGATGTCAGGTTGACCTATAATGACCCTGCACCGTTCCCATCCTCACAATCTCTGATAATGCTTGAGCCCATTGTTACAGTCACTGTATCAGTCCATCTTCTTTGGAATCTATCTTTCTTTATCTTCCATCTTTCCCAGCATGATCTCCTTTTGCAAGGACTGGTCCCTTCTGACAACATGCCCAAAATATGTGAAGTTTCATCATCTTTGCCACTCAGGAGCACCCTGGTTGTATTTTCTCCAAAACAAGCTTGTGTGTTCTTTTGGAAGCCTGTGGGATATTCAATGCTCTTCTCCAATGCTACAACTCAAAGGCATTTGTGGAGAAAACTAGCTGATTTTATCTTCTACCACTTTGCTGAATTCTTTTTTTCTTTTGGAGTTTGTGGAATTTTCTCTATAAAGGGTCTTGTTGTTGTTTGTTGATTGCCTTCAAGTTGAGCACTACTCATAGTGACCCTAAGAACAAAAGGCCTGAAGCAGGAAGTGGATGACCCCTGCCATAAAGGGTCTTAACATCTGTGAATTGGGCTAATTTTTCTTTGCAATTTTGTTGTTGTTGTTGTTAAGTGCTGTCAAGTTGAGTATGTCTACTAGAAACCGTCTGAACAGCCAGCCTGAACCCTGCCCTATCCTGTGCTATCCCCAACATCTCTGAAATAGTCAATCCCATTGCTGAAGTCACCATGTAAATCTGTCTCAATTGAAGTCTTCCTTTCCTTCGCTGCCACTCCATCTTTCTAAGCATAATGTTCCTCTTCAGTGAATAGCCTCATCAGCCTGCATATCTCTGAAAACTCTATGAACTTGGAGAAACGACAGTAGTTATAGAAAGGCTTTGGGCCTTTTGTTTCTAGGGCTGCTATGGGTTGTGCTTGACTCGATGGCAATAAACAGCAGCAACAACTTGTATGTCTAGTGTATGAAAGACAAAGCTTCATTATCTTTGCCCCAAGGAGCACTCTGGCTGCAGTCTTTCCAAGACTTATCTGTTCTCTTAGCAGCTTTCTGTCTTACCTTATTATTTTTTACTTGAAATTTTGAGTGTGATATTGAATATGAATAATGATAATAGTGTTGACCACTGTGTATTCCTTCCATCTTCTTTGATGCTTCCTGCATTTTGGCCATAGAATCCTTCAGTAGTTGGAACTCAAGGCTTGACTTTGTTCTTCAGTTCTTTCAGCTTGAGAAATGCTGACTGTGTTCTTCCCTTTTTGGTTTTCTGACTCCAGCTCTTTGCACTTTTTGTTATAATACTGTTTGTCTTCTAAGGCTGCCCATTAAAATCTTTCATTCAATTATCTTATTTCAGCATTTCTTCCCTTTGGGTTTTTTATTTTGTTTTGGTTTTTTACGTCTTTATGTTGTGTTGCAAGTTTCAACATCTGTTCTGACATCCATTCTGGTCTTTTTCTTGTTTTTATAATGATCTTTTGCTTTTATCATGGATTATGTCATCCCCTAACTCATCTGGCCTTTGGTCATTAGTGTTCAGTGCATCAGAACTATTCTTGAGATAGTTTTTCAAGTCAGTTGGGATAGACTGAGGTTGTATTTTGATTCTGTGGATTTGTTCTGATTTTCATATTCTTCCATTTTCTTCTTGTTTCTGTTCTTATAGGGCATAATCTCAGTCTTTCTCTATTGCGAAAAAGTGTGCTTTTGGTTTTGCATGTTGTTTTTGTTAGGTGCTATTTAGTACAATTCATAGCGATCCTATGATCAACAGATCTGAACACTGACCTATGCCAAACTCATAATTTCTGACATACTTTACTTCAGTGCAGCAGTCACTGTGTTGATGTATCTCATTAGTATCTTTCTCTCTTTTTCTGACCCTTCACCTTTCCAAGTATGAGGTCCCTCTTCAGGGAATAGCCTCTCCTAACAACATGCCCAAAGTATTTGAGACAAAGCTCTGTCATCTTTGCTTCTTCAATAAATGACAGTCTGTGGGATATTCGGTACTCTTCTCCAACAGCACAGCTCAAAGGCATCAATTCTTCTGTCATCCTTATTCATTATCCACCTCTCTGTTGGAGAAGGTCAAGGACTGCAGTCTTCAATATGGATTGAAGCTCAATATCAAGAAAACAAAAGATTCTCACCACTGGGCCAATTGGCAGCATCAGTATGGATGATGAAGAGATTGAGATAGTTAACAGTTTTAGTTTACTTGGTTCCACAGTCAACACTCTTGGTAACAGCAGCCAGGAAATCAGGAGATGAATTACATTGGGAAAGTCAGCTGTGAGGGACCTCTCAAGAGTATTGACGTGCAACGACGTCAGGCTACAGACTGAGATGTGCCTGATCCAGGCTATAGTCTTTGCAATTACGTGCTATGCATCGGAGAGTTGGACAGTGAATAGGGATGATAGAAAGAGAATTGATGCCTTTGAGTTGTGGTGCTGGACAAGAGTGTTGAATATACATGGACTGCTAGGAGAACAAACAGGTTTGTCCTGGAGAGGGTGAAGCCAGAATGTTCCCTGGAGTCAAGGATTCTGAAGCTTGATCTGACATAGTTTGGGCATGTTGCAAGGAGGGACTGGTCCTTGGAGAGGGACATGTTTGGCAGAGTGGAGGGATGGCACAGGAGAGGAAGACCCTCAATGAGATGGATTGATTCTGTGAATGGAATGGTGGGAATGAATGTGTTTGAGACAGTGAGGTTGGCATAGGATAGAATGGCGTTTAGGACTCTTGTACATAGGGTCACTGTTGTTGTTGTTGTTATGTGCCATCGAGTCATTTCCGACTCATAGCGACCCTATGCACAACAGCTCTAAACCCTGCTCTATCCTGCGCCAACCGCACCGCCTCTGACACACCCATCCCGATTACCCCAGTCACCGAATCAATCCATCTCATAGAGGGTCTTCCCCTCCTGCGCTGTCCCTCCACCCTCCCAAGCATGATGTCCCTCTCCAAGGACCCGTCCCTCCTGGCAACATGTCCAAAGTATGTCAGACGAAGCCCCAGAATCCTTGCCTCCAAGGAGCAGCTTGGTTTAATCCTTTCCAAGATGAATCTGTTTGTTTTCCTGGCAGTCCATGGTACATTCAGTACCCTTCTCCAGCACCACAGCTCAAAAGCATCCACTCTCCTTCTGTCCTCCCTAGTCATTGTCCAACTCTCTGATGCATAACAAGCGATTGCAAATACCATGACCTGTGAGTTGCAAATGACTCTATAGCACATAACAACAACAACAACAACTGTTGCATAGCATGTAATTGAAAAGACCATGGCCTGAATAAGGCACACCTTAGTAGTTAAACTGGCATATAGCTCCTCAGTAATTTTGAGAGGTCCCTGATTGCAGACATTCCTTAAGTTCAATATATCAACTGATCTAACTGCTGGTACCCAGGGTATTGATTGTGAATCTAAGTAAGATGAAATCATTGACAATTTCAATCTTTTCTCCATCTGTCTCGATCTTGCCTATTAATCCAGTGATGAAAATTTTTGTTTTCTTAATGTTGAGATGTTATCCATATTGAAGGCTTTATTTATCTCCTCTTTCTGTTTTGCTAAGAATTTATTTATATTAGGAAATGGTGTTGGTTTTATCAAGTGTCTTTTTTTTTTACTAATTGATATGATATTTTTATCTTTTTCTTGATATTATTTTTATGGTGTATTATATGGATGAATTTTCCTATGTTGAACTCAGTATGACTTCCACATTATCATGATATGGGCTTTTTTGTTGTTGTTGTTGTTGTTATCCTGTTGCATACTATTAGCTAAAATTTTGTTAAGAATTTTTCATCTCTGTTCATAAAGAGATTTTGGCCTACAATTTTCTTTGTTTTGTTTGTTATCAGAGGTATAGAAGAGTCATAGAGTGAATTCATTTCTTTTCTATGTTCTGGAATAATATGAGAGTGCTTTTCAGAGAAATGACATTTAACTCTTCACTGAATTCTCTGATTGAGCAGTCTGGGCTAGGAGATTTTTCAGTTATTGTAGTTCAGAATCACTCCCCCCCATTCCCAAATAGAATGAAAATGTAGTTTGTGATCTGTTTGCTCCCATGTTATGACTAAAAGAATAAAATGCAGCTAGTATTATGGGTTGTTGTTTTATTTTTTCCCTTTAAAGTAAATACATTGATAAACTCAATTTGATAAAATTGTCTCATGGTGATTCCTTATTTTACTCATAGGGTAAAAATCATGGTAAAAAACTCCGAAATTACTATGCAGCAAACAGTTGTCCCCCTCCTGCCAGAATGAGCAATGCAGTGGAACCGACGGCTACTCCAGTTGTCTCCGCTTCTCAGCAGGTATGTAGAGTTAAGATTTGGCAACTGAACCCATGGTTGGAAGTCACTGTGAAACAGCACGCAGGTAGAAGCTGTCATATACACGAAATGTCATGGACACCCTTTAGGGTACAGTTAGGGCAAATGCAATTGAATTACTGATCTCCTTGGTACTTCTGTGAACCTTGAGATTTTTCATGGCTTAAATTATGATCCATGGAACAAATGTTTTTGGTTTTATAAGTAATTATTATAACTCTGAATTAAAGGACCCTGAATGTTCAGGCAAGGTCCTTGGTTAAGAAAGAGATTCTTAAGGCATTTATTTTTTGTTATGTTTAATCCTACTTATATTTTGTCTTTAACCTGTATGATCCATTTCTCATATGTGTTCCCTTTCCCCCCTCGCTGTGGAAAGCATACATAAATTCTCTCTAGACTTTGATATGAGGAGATACTCTTGAGGGTTGAGTTCCTTTAGTTCTTTGGCAGATAATACCAGTGATTTGGGGAAGATCCTTCTATAGTTTAATAGCTTCTTGATGGAGATTCTACTCCATAAAAACATTTTGAAGTATTATGTATTCAAAGAACTATGTTATAGCAATAAATAATATTCTCCCACTGTCGTTGTGTCAATTCTGCCTCTCAGTGACCTTGCTGGGCAGATACCAGCTACCCTTTAGAGTTTTCAAGGCTGTGAATCTTTCTAGATGCAGACTGCCTTTTCTCTCTCCCAAGCAGAGCCTGGTGGATTTTAATGCTCACCGTTTAGTTAGCTAATCTTTTGGTTCTTCATGCACTGTGTTGCTAAGCTAAAAACCTCACTGCTGTTGAGTTGCTTTTAACTCACTGGCATCTTCATTGGCTTTTCGAGGCTGTAAATCATAACTAGAAGAGATATGCCCATCTTTTCCCTTTGGGGCTGCCAACTATTGGAGCTTGATCTTTGGGTTAGTAGTGCATCTTGCTGTGGACTACTTTATGAGAGTTGCCTTTAAATAGTAATACTACTACTAATAATGCCCTTAAACATGATCCTGCTGCTGCTGTTGTTATGAACCATTGAGTCAGAACCAATTAATAAGTGACCCTTCAGTGGCTGTACATTGCATGGGAGGAAATGGCCCGTATTTTTTCCTATGGAGTGACTGGTGGATTTAAACAGTGCTTTTGCTGGCAGCACAACTCCTTACCACTCTAATTGAACAGTCACTATGATAGGCTCTCTGCTAAAACCTTTTCCCATATTAATATATTCAGGGTGAGTTGAGAAAAGCGTTACTGTAAGGCACAAAATGTAAGAGGTACTAAAAACTCAATTATGCAGGTAAAGAATGTTTAATTCAATATGTTAAAACATCAAAATTGATGTAAAAACATTTTTGTGAACAAAGTACTAACATTTGAAATAAAAGCTGAGTATCATTGAATTTTTGTTTGCTTCAGACTTCGGTGTAGTGTAGTGTGAGGAATTCTGTATTTAAAATTATGATTTTTTTTCCATTCATAGATATCCCCCCCCTGCGCGCATTGGGTTTGACTTTATAGAGTATTAGGACCTTCTAAGAATAAAATCCCTGTAGACATCCAAAAACTCCAACAGGGTAAAAAGGGAAGCCAAAGACTGGGAAAAAATATTTGGTAATGACATATCAGATAAGGGACTGATATCTAGAATTTATAAAATACTTGAGCACCACAACAAGATAAGGGTTAACAACCCAATTGAAAAATAGGCACAGGTTGTGAACAGATACTTCACCAAAGACATTCAGATGGCGAACAAACACATAAAGAAGTGCCCAAAATTCCTAGCTCTGAGATGCAAATCAAAACAACTATGAGGTATTATCTTTCTCCAGTAAGAATAGCAAAGTTTAACAGAACAACAAACAACAAATGCTGGCAAGGTTATGAACAAACTGGAACCCTTATTCACTGTTGTGGGCGGGGGGGTGTAAAATGGTGCAACCACTGTGGAAGGCTGTATGGCACATTCTCAAAAAGTTGCAAATAGAAATACCATTTGACCCAGCAATTTCACTACTGGGAATATACCCTAAAGAAACCATAAATGCCACCCAAACATATATGCACACACATGTTTATTGCTGCTTTATTCACAATAGCAAAGAATTGGAAACAACCCAAGTGCCCATCAACAAACAAATGGATAGATAAGCTTTGGTATATTCACACAGTGGAATACTATGCTGCATTGAAAAACAAGGAACTCATGAAATAGACAAAATGGTTGACCCTGGATGACATTATGCTGAAATATCTCAGTCACAAAAGGACAAATATGGTATAATGCCACTGTTATAAAACAGGACAGACATGGGGGCTGAGGAGGAACTAAGAAAAGAGGGGATAAATAATGTACACGGCATTGAAACAGATGAGGGAGAGAACTGTATAAAAGGAATATATGATTAGATATTACTGGCATGACAAGAGTCCAGAATAAGAGCTGCATAGTAAAGTGGTCTGGGGGCCGGGTAGAGTCTGTATACCAATGAAAGAACTTTTTTCCCCCCAAAGAAAAAAGCCATCTGGGGAGGAGAGACAGCAAGAAAATGTGCAACAATGAACGACTGGAAACTCAAGTTCTTTATAAAATTTCATTAAAATCTCAATTTAAAAAAAAGGAGATTTTTTTTTTTGCTGAGGATTGGTGACTTGGCAGCTTAATATCGGGGAATGGACTGCAACCCCTAACTTCCAGCGCTGCTCAAGCCCTGCACCCCCATCCCCGCCACAGCACTGTGTTCAGGGACAGCACCCCACCACCATCCCACGCCCCAACACTTCTGGCACACCCTCGTGGCCTCTCCACAACCCTTCACCCCTCACCGGTGCTCCAGGGCCACTAGAGACTCCTTCATGCAGCACAGACACCTACCAACAGCTGTGGACAGTACGATTCTGAGTCAGCACACAAAGGCACACAGTGGATCCAGCCATTGTCTTAAGCTACCAGTTGAGCTGCTGTGGGGCTGATCTGCCACGAGAAAGGCTGGTAGGATCCTAATTGGGTTTTCTTGAGCACCACTGACTGTCTGGGAGAGTACCCAAGGGTGAGCCCACTGGTGGGAATTTGGCTGTGCTTTCTCGGGCGACACCAACTGCCCAGGAACAAGCGGGCCAGTGATAATTTGGTTGAACTTTTGTGGACACTGCAGATCAGCCTGAGGCGAGTGGGTTGGTGGGAATTTGACTT